GTGAAAACTCAAAGCTTGGTATATATATATATAAAGCATATGTGGCAGTAAATAAGTTGGGGCTTTAGCTTTAACAGTAATGAGAAGACGCTTTCCAAGACTGTAAGCAAAAGTAAAGCCAACTGAATTTCAGAAACAAACCCTCAGTAGAGAGTGGTTCAACAACATCAAGCTCCTCCTAGACTCTACCCTTGGCACATTGCTCAAGGCATTTACTATGATTATCATAAGAGTGCTCAATTTAAAATGATTATGATATTATAAATACTTGCATGTTCTTTTAGATGAGAAGGATCTTTTAGCTACCTTTTCAATAAAAAAATAAGGACATGTAAATGCCACTTTGACAGCAGCTGACTAGAATATAAGCCTTAAATCAAAACAGAACATAGCAATAAGCATCCAAGCCCAGAGAAAAACACAACAACAGTAAATAGCATAGACTCTCACCAAAAGACTCAAGAGTGCATTCCCCTCTTGTTGAATGACATGAGATCTAAGAAGATTTGGATCTTGATTAAGAAAAAGTATAAGAATATCCGTCCTGAATCATAGAAGCAGAAAAGCCAAGTTCGTTCAGCCAATACAAGAGTATGAGACTTATGTACGCAAAAAACATGAAAGACAGCACAAAGTTTAAATAAATATACAATAATAATAATTACCCGACGGAGACAAGCTTCCTATCCTGAGATTTTAGTACATCGGTAATTATATCAAATATGCCTTCGCTAGCAAGGTCCCTAAAATTGTAGCAGAAGAATCAGTTAAAAAAACAGTATGCATTTTAACTCGGATTTCACAAAAGCAATCATAAAGAGCATTGTTTCTGCCTTGTAAGAGAATGCCTTCAGCAATATCAAAATTGGAAAAAGCTTAGTTATAATGCAAGCTAGATCTTTGCAATCATATCATTTCAATATGTAAGCACTACAGGTGCATGACAGAAACAATTTCGGGCCACTAAACCCATGACTTAGTTGATGGAAAACTAGAACCTTATGGTTAATCCTGAAAAATTCTGGAGACAAATTCTCTAATTCAGCTGGTGGCAGATTCAAACGCAAAGTAAAATTATGCATTTGCCAATGAGGATTAAGTTTCTCCGGTGAAGGACATAAGAGTCTGCAACAAGTTCATTTTTCACAACACTCCTTAATGGTAATCATCCCCCCAACCCCCAAAAAAACCAAATTTACCAGCAAAAGCACAGAAACAGACTCTGTATGTATAATGCACCTAATACTAACAAATATATTCATAAAAATAAGTTAGTTACCCTTGCATTAGAAAGCAATTCTGAATTTTTGCTCCTTCCATCTCTTTGCTGTAGAGACCTTTCTAAACCTTCCTCTACCTACCAAACAGAGAATCCCAGCACCTTCGCATATCCAATCCACCTCCAACTTAGAAGCTACCAATATAAACAAGTAAGACTACTCTCGACCAAAACCACTATCCTCATGACGTCTTGTCATTCCCCCATGTATACATGAGCTGGTGTGCTGACAGATCACCTGCCAATTTATCCAGTTGACTAGACCACAAATTAAATTCAGCTGGGGGGGGATGCAGGAATTTGGCTAAAACTATGTGGCTCATCCTCATATTTTGCAGAAAAGTTTTCCTTTAGCTAAAAATCTTGAGCATTATCAGGGATCTTCGAGGCATGCCTTCTAACATTACATGTTTCATGTGCTTTGAGGAGGGACATCTTATTAGAGATTTTCAGAATGAGGTTCTCTTTGGAATGCAAAAACGATTGATCATTATCACATTTCTTTTCTTTTTATCGAAACAATGCCTTTCATCCAATCTGTTAGATACGATAAAAGAATTCTTCAAGCCTATGGTTTTCTTTAAGTTTCAACCCAAACTCAGTAAGGATGTTAATGAAGCTCTTAATTGGAATTCAAACAAGGAATGTGTTCGTTCTATCTCTAATTAAACTGAGTTCTTTCCTTTTTTAAGTTTAGTTTAACTACGGTTTCTATATCATGGTTAAGCATTCGGAAAAGATCAATGGACCTTACAAAATTAGAAAATTTTTTTTATATTAGAGTTCAAGTTTGAGGATTTCTTTTTATTACTGGAATTGGGATCCACTAGACTTCATTATTTCCAAATTTGGGAAGTTCATTGGTATGATAAACACCATCTCAAGGTTAGAATATTGAAAGCTGAAGTTCTCATCAAAGTACAGGGCTTTTATGTCACATTAAAATCCCGCAAGCTTATTCCAATTAATATATTAATTTTGTACTCTTTCCTCTAACGGGCTCTCCTATGTTGAAAATGATAATTTTTATACTCTAATTAAGAAAGTACCACTTGCTTATACATTGAGCATCTCACTACTTCTATTAAGTGCTCGGCTGGGGATTTACCTCAGGTTGAATATGATAATAACTCTGGCAACTCCATTAATAATAAGGAATTTAATGATGCAGTAATGGGTTTCTTTGAGGCAGCATATCTTTCTCTAACGGTAATAGTATTAGATTCTGCAGTCCACAAATGCTTCCAATTCTTCATCATCTGCCAAATCATTGGATAGATCAGCTATGGAAAATACTATTACCGTTGCATTGTCTAAGATGTTGTCACCTCTCTCAACAATTTCTCAATCTAATAAAGAGTTCAAATCAAACCTCTGATTCCAATCATGACCATCCAATTCAGGGAATAAATGCTGGAGTCAAGCAAAATTACCATTCAAACTGCCAACAAATTTCAACTGTTTCGATTTCTTAATTGAATTGAGATTCTACTGAGAAAACCTCTATCGGAAACTAGCGTGGAGTACTCACATTGCTAATTGATCTTCTTCCTCAACTCCAAATCTGTTTTTAGCTGTTTCTTCTATTGCACGATTCCTCATAATTTATTCAGCTTACAGTCCAGCACCTAATACACAGGTTAAAGATAAATTCAAGTACAGGAGAACTACAATCATTTCTGATGATTTTTTTTTTCAGTTAGAATGATATTATTAACGAGAACATAGTGATTGAATAAAAAAAATGGGATTTTCCCCAGAGATTCCAGAGGATGATGCTGGAAAAAATTCTTTTTAAACACAGTGAACTCCATCCACCTTTTATTGGTGAGAGGGTCCACCAAAAACTTTGTCAGACGAATAGTTGTAAAACTTCCAATCAACTTCTCAAGAAACAAAAACAAAACAAGAAAAACCAACTTCAAGAATCATTATCTTGATGCATCTAATAAAAATTGCATGGAATCCTAAGAAAGACACTGTTTTTCATCCGATTCTGTAATTTCTTATATGAAGATAATGGCTCATCATTGCACTAGCTAATGATTGTAAATTAATTTTAATATGGATCTCGTTCCTGAGTTTCAGAAAAAGATGTGATGTGTTATCCATTTTTCAAGCTGAGGCTCAAGCTCTACTTTCTCTTCTATGAAAAATAACATTTGATCTGGTAGAAGGTTGAGCTCTAGTATTAAGAGAAGAATGGAAGAATAGTAAGCATGGCATCTTCATGGAATAAAAAGGATATAAGTTGTCCCTGCGCTCTCTTACTCTATTGTGTTTAATTTAAACCAGGATTGAAAAGTTCTAAATTCCACTGGCTATTCTGTAGGTACTTTGCGTAGATGGAACTATCAACTTGTTGATGTCATCAACTTCTCGATTGATATTTTATCGATTTCTATCAATTTCATGAAAAAAACATGACTGCTTTTTGAGATTGTTACTTACTATTATTTATGCTCCTACTGGTGAAAAAGAACTTATATTTTTTACTTAGCGGCAATTTGGGATCGCTTTTGATTTTTATTTTGTTTTTTTATTTTTCTTTTATTTGTTTATGTTTTGATCTATAATAAAATGTTTGGTATGACATAAAATATTTAGCCATTTTTTAAAAAAACTTTAACTTTTTGATGTTTTGAGTGTTTTTAAAAACAAGCAAATTTATTTTTAAAAATAAAAAAAACAAACAAAATTTACACTAAACATGCATATTTTTAAAATAAAAGTAAAAGAAAAAAAAGTGTGATCCCAAATAAGAAGTTTTGAATGCTAGCTTTAAGAGGACTTCAAATTGGATTCTATCCACTACTCTCTCTCAAATGATGAGAAGCCACCTTCTTATCTTCTAATTGATTTAATGAAACATTTCAATCTCATAAATCATCAATTGAAGAAAGCAGGGTCCAATAAGAGGAAAGAAAAAATCTTTATTAAATTTGACAATTTTATTCCCCCCAGTATTGAGGATTTCTGAAGTGTAGTCCAAAAAAAAATTTGAGAGAAATATTCTATGGCATTGTCCACTTCTATTTAGTGCAAACTCCCTTTGAATAAATCACAGACTATTCATTTAGAGCATGGTTTCAAAGATACGTGCATTGGTTTGTAGAAGGGCTTCAATACTACAGGGGAAGGCGATAAAGATATGGTAAACACAAGGACTAAAAACTAGCTTAGAATCTAATATCAAAAACTTGAAGAGTATTAAAGAGGCAAAAAATGTTCTGCGAGAGAGAGAGAATGAGAGAGAGAGAAAGAGAGGGGGCAAGAAGAAGAGAGAGAGAGTGAGAGAGAGAGAAAGAGAGGGGGCAAGAAGAAGAAGAAGAAATTAACTGGCAGCAAAATTGCAAAGTTGAACGATTTATATGGAAGGAGAATAATACAAATTTTATTTCACAAAACAGCTAATTGTAAAAGAAATCTAAAATTACATTATTCATGTAAGGATTGGAAATGTTTTTCTCTTTGCTCAAAATGACGTTTTAAAAGTAATAGATTCTATAAAAATCTCTTTAGTAATCATCTCCCTAACTTTTATATCAGCAGAAATAAAATCTATACTGATTATATCTTTAGTAGATTAATTTGTCTGGAACCATCTTTCTATCAGGATAAAATTAATAATATGAATTTCTCTCCAGGAGCTTCAACAATATTTATGATGGTGAAAGGCTTCCCCTCAAAGTCTAGTTTTAATTTCTCCCATTTGTCTCATTTGCAGGAATAGAGAGAGCTTGTTGTTTCAGCAATATACAAAAAATCTCACACATATAGGTAGTTACGTAAAGAGCAGCTCATAAGAGGCATGAGATTTTATATGTGAAAACTCAAAGCTTGGCATTGGTGAAATGAATCCACAAATTGTATATTATAAAAGCTGAACTTTCTTAAAAAAAGTATTAATAAAATGTAATGGATGTAAATTATAGAAGATGGCTTGCATAGTGCAAGTAAAGGGACCTTGAAAGTTCAGTCACTATAGCTGCGATAAGAAAACATTTCGTGGTCTGCTTGCGCATTCTCCTTATAAGAGGGAAGATCAATGAATAAAAGGGCAAGCATCAACCTCAATGGAGATGCTAAGTATGAATGTTACCAGCACTGGCAGAGATAGATGTTAGCACTATCACCAACAAGAGCCAACATTACTGCGGCTACAAGTGTTGGTGGCAACACCGGACGTCAATATTAGTATGGGCGACACTAGTATCAATATTTGTGACAAGTATTGGTGGTGATGGGAAGTGTAAATATAGGCGGGCAAGGGGAATTTCAATACAGATGGCAATAGCTAGATTGGCATTATTGTCAACATTGGTGGTGATAATAAGCATCAATCTTGGTGGAGAATGTGGTTGTCGGAATTGATAAGGATGGTGAGAATCCTCATTGTTGGTGATGACAGACATCAATCTTTGAGGAGGCAGTGAGTAACAACTTTGTTCCTGATGGTGGGTGTTCACCAAGGCGGCAATAGTAGGCGTTGACGTTGATATAATTGGCAGCTGTGAACTTTTTGGGTTACAGAGAGCATCTATCTTGCTGAAAATGACGAGCATCAGTTTTGTCGACAATGGAAATTAATCTTAGTGACGACAATGGGCATCCACATTGATGGCACCAATATTGATTGTGTGTGTCGATATTGGTAGTCCCAGTGCACACATGAGCGTCAGCATTAGTGGAAGCAGTGAATGTAGGCATTGGTGGTGACGATAAACATCTGCAACGATAACAGATGTAAGAAATTATGTCAACGATGAGTATGAACCTTGTTCACATCACTCGATATCAGAGTTATTGGGGAAAGTGGGCATCAATATTTATGGAGATGGCAGGTGTTGGTCTTTCTAACAATAGCAGACATTAATGTTGATGTCAAAGGTAGACATTAGCATTGATGTTGAAGGTATACACAGCCTCATTGGTGATCACAAACGTCTATCCACTCTGTAATGTTGATCTTGATCTGCCAAGAAAAACTTTGTATTCATTTCTTTGAAATGCTTCATTGGATAAAATTCCTGCCTCCACAAATCTGTGGTAGTTTGAACAAAAATCAAAACACTACATGAGGACCATGTTGATCCTCCTTGATCAAAACTCCTTCTTAGATATTTTAGTACTTTAATGATATTAGATAAATAATCTTGAGCTCGTTACATTCACCTCATCGAAATCATTTCAACTATAAGTATTACAATCAGTCTTGTAAAATTTCCAACCATACTTGTGAATACTTAATTCAAGTCTACTTAGACCTAGATCAAAGAGTTCTCGATAACCTTGGATTCATCACGCTAAGATTCATGCTTGATCATATGGATTTTCTAGTGGCATATTAGTGCTGAACTTCTTAAATGATTTTTTACTCGTTAGTTTTATTATAAATGGGACTCTGAAACTTCTCACCAAACTCCTCTCAAGGACAAGAGCCTTGCATGCCTCACCAGGTGGATGATAACCTAAAGTTCATTTATTGAGGAGATAGACATAATGGATTTTAACAGTGAAGCTAACAAAATTATACAGTAAACTTTGCAAAAAAGAAAAAAAAAGGGTACCTTCATAGTGGACATTTGAGAGGTAATTTGACTGTTATTATTGGAGTTTCATATTTTAGATACTAAAATATTTTGTATAGTAAATATATCAAGTGTTTAGCAATTCTTTAATCATTATCAACAAGAAGTTGGAAAACAAACTAAATATCATAAGAGCCTTCGTCAAGTTGATCCTCTCTCCCCCTTATCATTATTAGTGTTCATATTGTGATCCATATAATGATGGATGTACTACTTTCAAAGGTTAGATCGAGAGTTTTGAGCACTACACGAACTCCAAAAATCCCATAAAATTTCAATTTGTTGATGAAACTTGTAACTTCATGTGGGTTTTCATCTGAATCATGAACCTTTAGCATATCCAATATTTTATGAACTGCTATCTGATCTCAAAAGTTAACTTTCTCAAAACCTCCTTCGTCTAAGTTGGAAAATTAGCCGGTAAGTTCAAAGTCTCAGCAAATTTGTTATAATATATTTTTTTCAGATATCTCAGTATGCCATTTAGTTCTCAAAGTGCCCTTAGGATGCTTGACATAGATAAAATTCATTATAAGCTGGATTATCGGAAAAAAAGTATATTTCTAGAGATGAAACGCTAATAGAAATAAATTCTATTCTTATTTCCATCTCATTTTATTACTTCTGTTATTTCTAGAATCCTTGGTGGATTATATCAAAATTGGTTAAAGAAGGATGCAGTTTTTCTAGCATATTACTAATATGAGTAGGTGCTTTCACCTAGTTATTTTGTAAATTCATTTGTTGACCCAAGTACCTCAATGGCTTTGCAATTTCGCACCTCTGATTAGATAACATCTCCAATTTTAAAAAAAGGGCAATCGCTTTAGGGAGACAATACATCTCTAGCAAGTAAAAAGATTCACTAATCAATAATTATATCAACAAATGTTTCACAATGAAAAATTTACAACTAATGTTTTCTTTTTTATTCATCAAAAGGGTAAAGGAGTTATTCATGTCAGCCTTTGTTAAAATTTCTTTGAAGTGGAATACTAAAAATTCTGCTAAATTTTGTAAATACTAATGGCTGTTAAACTCCCTTTGTCTATCATGTTCTCAGATTTTTTTTCTTTTTTTCAGCACTCAATTTACTTCACAAAGAGTTAACGGCGCAATAATATTTCTCTTCATCTTATGAAGAAAGTGAATATGCATGCTAACATAGTCACAACGCTTCGAGAGATTGTGAATATAAATCCTAATACAAATTGGTGAAATTTTATGGGCAGCATCCATGGTTCAGGCAACCCAACCAAGCCATCTGACACCTGAGCTCAGGAATTAAAGCCAAATTTTCCATAAATATGAGGTTCAGTTTAAATCATAAGTTACAAAAAGTTACGGCCATAAGAAAAACTAATGACAATAATTGGACCTAGTTAGTTATCATAGAATGCCATATACGGTAACAAAATAAGTATGAATACGTCTGAACATCCCAAACTATACCTTTGTAATGCTAGTTGCATGAACTTGAAAAGAAATGCGCAAAATGTAGTTTGCAAGTAACAAAAATGAACAGTGCCAAAAAACATGGATTTGCACTTACAGCATGAGCTTTAAACTTGCTTTAACTTGTTTATCATATCCTAATAACTGAACTTGCTCTGGCTAATGCATCAAAATGGGTATGGCACACAATTCTTATGTATTCACATATCTCACACCTAAACTTCATATTTACACAAATAGCACTCAAATTATTAATATCACATAAAAAATAACATCATTGCCACCTTTTAAAACTGAAGTACACAATTTTATGCACAGCTTTAAAGCACCAAAGTGCTATGTATGTAAATATAAAAGTTTAAATATAAGATATGTAAATACATAAGAATTGTGTGCTATGTAAGTAAATTTACCCATTTAATAATATGAATCGATGACAACAAAGACACTCCGCATGAATGGAATGCCTTTATAAATAAACATGAATAATTGAAAAAAAATCAAGTCAAGAGATGAGTCGATCTTCAATTAATCCATCTGCTTTCCAGCTCCACAGCAAATTTATTGAGCTATTGATATTTAACAAAGTACATTACCACCAAACAAAGTTGCTATTTCTAAAATATCATTGAATGCCCAAACCAAAAGTATAATTGGCAAGCTGGCTGATCAAGTTCCACAATTAAGATTCATAAAGATGTAGAAAAAAAATCATTCCTTTCTGTTATAGGAGGCATGATTGACTTCAATCATTCTTTCTTATCTGACCCTAATCTCATTCACAAACCAAACATCTAACTAACAGATTATTCAGTATTCGCCATTTAATTTGGTTAATTAAAATCAAGACAAAATACAATGATGGACAGGTATTTAAATCACATACCGCAGAAGCCGCAATTGTTGTACCATCTGTAGACTCTTTGCTAGGGAACAAAACTCGTGTAAAAACAGCACCTGTACAAGCATAGTGAATGTAAATTTGCATAGAATATTAAATTAAAAACTTAATATCGGAGTGAAGGTACCTCATGAGACTACAGGAATTAAGTGATCAAATATAAGCAATAAGATTTTCCTTACTTAAATGACCAAAACAATTTTCAGACGCATATGCTTAAAAACAGTTCCAATTAAAGCCTGCCTCTAGTGCTTTTAGGCATGCTGCATGGTTGAAATAGAAAATATTTACCAGAAATAATCATGAAGTTAAATAACAATTATTTTTTTAAAAGATGTAAATGAAGACCCTCATCATTGTTGTGAAATGATTGGACACTAATATTTAAGTAAACCAAATGACAGCACCAACTTCTACATGACAAGAAGAGAATCACAAGAAATATAAATATTTTTTTATATCATCGAACAAGAAACTAGGATCCTTAAACACAGTAAAAGACAACAAGTCATGAGGCCTTTCAAAAAGATTCAAATTTTCTTCCCTATGAATAAGCATACTTTCTATCATTTAAAAAAAAGGAAAATTCTTTATGGATTGTAAGGTGACTCCGGAAAAAATTTTAAATGAGCAAAAAAAATTATAGATAATAGATCCATATCATAGAAGCAAAAAAATAAACTAATTGCTCGGTGACAACACTGCCAAGAGTCTATTCCAATGGTAACGGCCCTTACATCCAAATGGAAGAACTAGGGGTGGTTCCAAATCCTTGAATAAATAAAATAAAAAAATTGCACAAGAATAAGATGGTGGAACTTAAAAGTGAAATGTTAAACATTTTTTAAGAAGGTAGTTGAGAAAGATAAATTTGGAATTCTATAGTTGAAAACCAAACTTGATGTAGAATAAAATAACTAGTTCCATCAAGAATGCATAGGAAGATCTAACAAAGTTCAAAACTGATCACACCTTCATACCTAAATATGGAAATCTTATGGTAGAGTTAGACGATACACAGGTTTTTAATGACAAAGAAATATGGTTTTCAAATTATAATCATATAGAAGCTTGAAACCTTCCTAAAAGGTTAGTTAGCAAAACAAGAACTACACAACTTCTTGATTTATCAATTAGGGCAGGAAGACATAAAAGAATAGATACTTAGGTCAAGTTTAGCATATTTGACACAATATGATAGAGCCTTATTTAAAGATGATGATATCAAAAAAATTAAAAAAAAAATTAAAAAACATATATTTTGAGAAAATAGTGAATGAAATTTTTAAAAAAGAAATCTGTTTAGAAAAATATCATGTACATAATTCTGACGTATACCAAAAATTAATATTGGTAATAATTAAGTTGAGTTTAGCACCTAAGAAAATGCATAAAGTTAAAACTTTATCATAATGAAATGCTTATCTAGATTAAGAGAGTTATTAACAGGTCTTGCAGTTAAATTTGCAAAATGTTTTAAGGAAATATTAAAGACTAAAAAGATGTAAATTCTTGAAGACATATCATTTCAATACTGACAATATAAGAAAAAAAATAAGATCTATAAGTATGTGGAAATTATGATGTTCAACAACCTACATATGTCCGACACAATTTAGACCAATCCACTGATCATGTGAGCCAATCTTCGGATGAAGAATGACAGGTCTATTCTAGGAGAAAGAAGAAGATTGGAGGCCAACTTTAGCTTCAAAATTTATTGGATGATACTTTGGTCACTACTGGCAATGGCACTCATCTTACCAATTTATTAGCTGGCTCCTTTCCTAGAACTAGATCTAGAGGCAAAAGAAAATTGGGTCGCTCTCTAGCTACCTGATACTACGTTTTTTGGCATTTTTTTGTTTGTCGCTCTCTAGCTACCTGATACTACGTTTTTTTTTCTTTAGTTGTTTTTTTTTTCTTTAGGTCTCATGTAATTTTCTGTATTTTCTCTTTTTTTGGAATCTTTTGTATGTGATGGTTATCGTAGGGGAAGGGTGTCATGCTTGGATCATTCCACACAATCTACATGTATCTTTATTTCCCTTTTAATATATTAAAAAAAATATATGTCTGTGTGTGTGTATATGTAGGTATGTATGTGTTGTATATATGTACGTACATGTGTGTGTGTAATTTCTGTGTAAAAATATAAGGAAAAGAAAAATAATTTACATCTTTTTTTTTATATCTTAATAAAGTGCATTGATCACTCGAGGCGCATCGAAAAAAGCATGTCGGTCAAGAGCATGTAAAAGATGCAGAAAAGTGTATGCACGGGTACTGTGCACAGTGTGTGTGTGTGGTGAAGCATTAAGTAGCATTAGAAGCAATCGTTGGGCAACAAGGAATTTATAATAATAATTGAATTGCATAAAAAAAATTGTATTAAGCATGTACCTTTTTGTGTTGCTTCTGGAGATGAAAGGAATAGGTATTCAAGGTAACATAGGTTGTTCTATAAGATATGCAAATGTATAAAGGAGTAAAAAGTGGATATACAAGAATCTTGTTTGAAGAAAAATATATCAACAATAAAAGAAATGATGATTTAAAAAATTAATACGGTAGAGTTTTAAAGGAAAAAACTTTTAAGAAGTGTGCAAAATAGAGTTTTAGCATCATTAAAAATTTATCAAAAAAGGTGAATTAGGCCAACTCTTAGGAAATCACATAAAGTGAAGCCTTCAATCCATATGACATGTCCATGGAGATTTCAACAATTATATAATATTTTAATTTGAAGAATAAATATTTACATGGATCCATAATGAAAACGAAAAAATGTCAAAAGATGTAGAACTATTTGTTAGCACTATCATTTAATGTGGAAAGGATCACAAACATTGAGAGTGATGGAATGACCTACAAATTTATTATTTATTTGTCAGTTTAATTGATAACTTAAGAGGAATGCAATGCTAACCGAGAGAAGAGAGGAGAGAAGAATTTGTTCAAATTCCTAAAAGAAAGAGTGAACAAATTCTAAAAGAAGAGTTGATTCCTAAGCCAGCATAAGGGAACAAGCCTTTTGCAAGTAAGAGTTTTGTATTCAACTTCAATTCCCTTTCTTCATGTATAAGGATCATATATATATATATAATATATAGCTGAAAGAATGAATAAATTTCATCACAAGCTCAAAATTGCCTCATGCTTTCCAAACAAAAACTAGATGAAAGAAAAATATAAAAAAATTTAAATAAAACGCAAATGGCATGCGCATAAATAGCTGGGAAAGTTTTTCTAGTTAAACGGGTCAAAGAGACAAATTTAAATTAAGCCAAATATCATTACTAATGGATATTCCTATAATTTTATCATCAGGTTACATTATACCTATATTCCTAAGGATTCTTTCACCCTTGCGAATTAGCAATAAACTTCAGTCAAGGGTTTGAGGATCATTTGAATATAGTAAATGTCCAATGTCTAAGCTAAACTAGCTTATATAAAACCTGCCACGAATTTTCATGTTGATAATAATGTTGATATCAAGATTGTACGGTGATAAACCAATCATAAGATGAAGAAACAATAAGACAGCATTGCATGAAAAAAAATTAATTAATTAATTAATTAATTAAACAAAAGATAGCATTGTATGACTTTCAATTTGATTAAATAATTCATGCGCAAAATAGGAAGACAAACTCTCTTACAAGTTGCCATTTCAATTCAAACCAATAGCCTATCATATAATAGCACGTAAGCTTTAGCTGAAAATATAGAGCAAAACCTTTCAACCGAAATATGGAAAACCTTTTTTTAACCTAAATGTGGAAAACTTAATTTCATGAAAACGAGGCACCGGAAACTTATTAAACTAACCTTCAAATTAATGAAATAATCTAATAATGAATAAAGTCCTTGTGTGCCTTGAAAAATAAGGACATGATAATAACCCTCATCATAATAAGATATGATCATGAGTAAAATGACACGAAACCAAGATAAGCAATTTGATAACAAAAAGCAATAAAATATATGCCATGAATTCAATAAATCTCCCTAAAGTAAATAATATTGAAACCAATAAGTAAAATCCTAACATATGCTTTAAATTCATCCAATTATCAATTGCAGTTAGGAGAGTGAAATCAGTCAGCAAGGTTGAATCGGTGGACAAATTTATTGAACAACTAAACCAAATTAAAAAAAATACAATACTGAACCGACCAAATAAGATATAGAGCTAAGCAAAACTAAACCAACATATAATTCAGACTTGGTTTAAACAATTTAAAATCCTGAAAATGTGTGCATTTAGTCAATTCAGATTGATTGGTTGATAAATTCAGTTTATCCACAATATAATTTAGTTTTTGGTTTAACCTTTTTCTTCAAGTTAACCCAATATGAAATCTAGATAAACCTTAGTCTTGAAACAAAAAACGAACCAAATTAAACAAATATGCTCGGTTTAGTTTGATTTTTTTCATTTAAACAAATTAATGTGACCCCTAATTATATGGGTGTAGTAAGTCATGTAATTATGTTCAGGCTATGTCAAATGTGGAGTTTCATGAATCATAGTTAAATTATAATGAAATTTTTGGCAAAAAGTAGTAAAATTAAAAGGTAACACAGCAAAAATAGTTGTGGCTAGTTTGGGTAAAATTCTGGATATCATAAATTTACCATAACAAGTTAAAAAAGTAATTTCAGGTTTCAAGATGAAGGCTATAGCTTTTCGAGTATTACAGATTTAACGATAAAAATGGCATATTTGTCCCATCTTAAAAAAATAAAGCTAATTAGCATAGGAAACACGTTCTAGCACAAATTATTGTGGTAGATAAAAGACATGGAATCGTACTTAAAAGCATATAAGAGCACAATAAATTGGACTACAAAATTTTAAGCTTATGCATATGTGCAACACAACATCAACCAAAATTCTAAGTGAACTTCATAGACCTTGAGCTGTTGAATGTAAACAAGATAAAATATATCATCAATGTTCGCTGTGGGTTGGTGAAAATTCTTTTCATATGAAACTTGCTCTTGTTACAAAGGCTCGCAACTTCCATAAATCAAAAAACTACCTGCT